TCTTGGTTTCTGGATGGCCCTAGTTACAAAATATTGGTATTCCCATGAAGAATAATTGTTGAAAGTTTGGATAATATGAGTTGCGAGGTGGAAATGTGAGATTTACGAGTTGGAAAATGTGAGTTGTGATTTGGAAAATGCGAGTTGAGAGTTAAAAAATGCGAGTTGGAGTTGGAAAATGCGAGTTACATGTTGCAAAATGAGAGTTGGGAGTTGCAAAATTCGAGTTGGGAGATGAAATATGCGTGTTGCAAGTTGGAAAATGCTAATTGCGAGTTGGAATATGCAAGTTGCGAGTTTTCCAACTTGCAACTCGCACCTCACACTAAGAAACCCTCTTTATATAAACCTATATTGCATGTATTCTGAGTTCCTGGAGGTTACCACATAAATATGTAACCTATAATAGAATTTAATCTGGGTTTCTGGATAGCCCTAGTTACAAAATGTTGACATTCCCATGAAGAGTAATTGTTGTTATAAATATAGTTTTATTTTTAGAACTGTAAGTTTTACAAATGCCCTTGTACTGTATATTATACTTGGTTTCCAATTTGTTAATTTTAATTTTCAATTTTTTGGTTCTTTCCTTCACGAACTTGTAGAACAACAAATTTATTTAAAAACAAGTTTTTTCATGTTATTGTTATAGTAATTAATCTAATATCATGCCAGCTTGCAAGATTGTCAAGCTGAAAGTAAGTAAAATAATTTTGCAAACTCGATGGATGGATGATGGATGAAAATGGACTAAAATTAGATGTAATTGAAAGATTCAAATTGAACCTTGTCTAGTTAACTGGAGTAGTATTAAATATTCCAATTACTAACTGAATAAACTGAAGTTTGATGCGAACCAGGCTGTAAGACCAAATAAGTTTGGGCCTGACTGACCCTACTGTAGAACATTCTTTTGATTTTGTGTGGGTCTAGCTTGGACAACTTGTATTGTCCAAACTCTGCTGACCCAAATTCTTAAAAACTGTTTATTTTCACCAAGGAGGAGCTGAAACTATTTGTTTTTTATGAAAACATTTGGAGCTTCAATAAATATATGTATTACACCACTATCCTATAGTTAAAAACATATATGCCAACCCATGAGCCCTGATTTCCAAATGTTGCTGTGCCCTTTGGTTGTTTGAGCTCTGTGGGTATGATTTTTGCCAATCAGGTAAGTACATGAAGTGAGCGATGGTTGATATTATTTATTTATTTATTTATTCTTTCTTTATACTAAATATACACTTTCAATACACAGTACTGGTTTCCAAAGTGGTTCAGTTCAACTACAAAATTTTAAAAGCAGATATATACACATTGTAACCAAAAAATATTGATAACTTAACTACAAATTGAAAAAGATTTAAAAGGAACATTGAAAGAAACTTAAGAAAATAAAAAATTTAAATAATAAATATGGATATGCAAGGTAAGAGAAAATCAGGTTAAATTAAGATGGTATTATTGAGGCTTTGAAATAGATTACTTAAAATTTGAAAGTGTCATAGATTTAAAGTTGGTTTTAGTATGATCCTGGAGTTTATTCCATAATTTAGTAGATCGGTATACAAAAGTTCTTTTACCTTGCATATTATTCCAGGTGTATTCAATTAGTGTATTTTTACTTTGACTGCGAGTACAATGTGTCAATAATAAATATGATGGAGCATGACTATTTAAACATTTGAAAATCATTATGGACAATTGTTCGTCCCATTTATCACTGAGTTTGCTCCACCCTAATGAACTTAAAATATTTACTGGGGTTTTTATGTCTGCAGAAAGTAAAATTCTTAAAATATTGCACCATCGTATAGTTAAAAACATATTTGCTTGAGCACACAACAAATTTTATTTTTTGGCCTTTAAAAGTGGAAATTAAAATTTACAATAACTCCTGCCTACTGGAACATCTGGTTATAATATTTCATAAATGTCAGCAAGGAATCTCAGTGTCAACAAGTTGAGTAGGCCTGCTGTGCTTTCATACTTTTGGATGGATCACAAATATTATTTAACAGATTTGCATGTAGATACAATATTCTAGTGAATTTCTAACTATAGAGTTCGGATTTAAGGGGGTGGGGCGCAATCGGCCAAGGCTCCCCTCCGACATAATTGTTAACAAATTATTTTTAAAATGGAGGAAATGAGAAAATTACTTTCAATATCAAGTCTGGGAGTATCATTTCCATCTACAGGTACCCACTACAGCACAATATTGCAGGTACCATATCCAAAAAGTAACTGTACAACAAGAATTTATATACATTTTCTCATTTGCCCTGGATAATAATGTATCAACACTATATTCTGAACAGACTGCCATTAGTGCTCAAGATTGAGTTTGAGCATTTTATCTTCCTTACTGGGGGGGGGGGTGGAGGGGGATGGTGAAAGATAATAATCCTCTCAAAACAAACCTAGTATAAAAATTGATAGTTTACTTACCTTTAGTAGTTGTAAAAGTCATAAGTTATGTCCACAAAGATTGCTAGGCCTGTACTGTACAGTATGCTTCCATGAAGCCGACAACGCAGCTTTCTGTCGTCTGAATGAATCACATGTTTGCTGTACCGAGATCATCAAACTCTGCGTAAGCTTACAATATAAGTCTTGATTAACTGCCTATCAATATACATAAAAGCATATTGTATTCCACAATAACCTCCATCATGAATGGTTTAATGATTTTTAAAGTAATATTGTTTGTAATTTACCGAAGAATTTTACAATGCACAAATCCAAAAGCCGGTGACTATATAACGTGTTAAATAGTCCAGAAGTCATATGACTCATAGGCAAACTCGTAGGGAGGCTCGTAGTAGAGGGCGCCACTGTATTATAAAAAAGTAAATTGTGTTTCCCAAATGTCGCTAGCAAAGGTTGCTATTTTTTTTTTATTTCCTGGAGCAGTGTGTATTGATTGGAAATATACTGTCTATTGATAATAAATTGTCAATATTATGATTGGGTGAATAAGCATAATTCATTTATAGAATACGTATAGTATGTATGTGTTAATTCTACATTGTCACTGTTCCACCGCAGAATGAACAAACCATTGTGTTAATTCGTCCTGAAATCATGTGTCTGGTAGGGGGCGCCACTGTTTAAAAATAGATTGCGTGTTTTCCAAATGACAGTTGCGCAGAGATTACATAGCAATCGTTGCTATTTTGAATTGTTTGCCTCAGTGAGTAGTTTGTATTGATTGGAAATATTTGGTGTCTTGTCAGTAAGATTGGAAGAATAAGCAGGATTCATGTATAGAATATTGATGATATGCATGAGTTACTACATTGTCACTTTAGTATAGTTGCTGAATACGTTTTAGTGTCAACTGGTGATATTCATTGAGGCTTGCCATTCCAAAACAGCATACTGTCGATAATAGTTAAATTGAGTAATTAGCATAATAATAAACATTCACAATCAAACTGATGTTTTTCCTGGTTTACATGGATCTGGATCAATAAGTGAGCATCATGTCCAAAGAGTTTTAGTTTCATACCAGTCACTAGACCAAGCATTTATTGACTTTATTACTAGCAGTTTCTAATAGAAAGTAAAATGCCGCGAGTATGCAATTCATGTAAATACTAGTAGTACATAAAAGGGTGTACTGATTGATTGATTGGTAGTGTGTATGATTTGGTGGCTTATAAGGATGGGTTTCAAAAATTTTATTTACAATGCTACAAAACAACATAATAATACACTAATAGACATGTAGTTAGTCGATCTTGTTTTATTGTTAACCACAATATGCTTCACAGTATTTAAATATGTAAAAAAAAAGTGTTGTCCACAATAGCCTTCACAGGGGTCAAGTTGTCTATTGGAATGGCCATACCCACATGAAGAAAATATTTTGGCTTGTGGTTAAATTAATACGATGTAACAATAATTGGGTGTTCTAAGTTATCTTACTGCGAAATTACTAAATACAGTATATTTTAAGGTAACTTGGCTTTAGGAGTGATTCTGATTCTTAATAGAATTTACAAAGAACTACCCAAATGAATTAAAGGTTCAGCAGTTAATGTATCAGAACATTTTTGATGTAATTGATATTTTTCATTCAGGGTGTCTTCCTAAGTTTGCACCTCGAATCTGTGGATCCTGTCTTTTTGCATCTGTTTTCTTGTTTGATTTTTCTGTATAGTGATGTTTTTATGATGAGATGCAATAAAATGAATGAAGTTTTTTAATTAATGAACACTTTTGGGACCAGGGTTTCCATGATCTTTAGCAGCTTTGGTCTCTAATTAGAATAATAAAGATAAGACATTTGTTAATATGGGACCACAGAAAAGTGGAGTTGATGGTCCTTAATTTGAGAGGTCTTTAATTAGAGGGAGACCTGTATATACTTTTCCTAATGACAAAAATGTAGTATCCTGATGGATGCCCAGTTTCATGAAAGAAGGCATGCCAGAATCTCTTGTTTCTAGGTAATTTGAGCATTGGATTTTCACAACCTTCTTTTCTACTTTCTCTCAGTTTTCACTATTATCTCCCCCCCCCCCCCCCCCCACACCAATAGTTCATTAGCCATTTTAGTAATCCAATACTGATAGATGCAGAAGTTCTCTGTAGCTGACAGTTGATGGCAAGGGTTGGCACCAGTGGCGGCTCTGGAATGTATTTTATGGGGGCTAAGCTGTCCAACAGATGGACTAGAGCAGCTGGGGGAAGGGTTTGCAAGGGGTTCCCCCTCCCAAATAAGGTTTTTTTTTTTAAATAATAGGAACCTCTGGATGGCCGGAAATGGCACTGTGACAGACATGTTTTGGCTTGGTGTGGGAGTATTTTGTATATTTTTATGGTCTGACTGTCCAACGAGATCTGCCAGACGGGGGATAAACCTGTCCAGTGGGGGGGCCTAAGCCTTCCTGCCCCGCTAGTGCCACCACAGTTTGCCACCAGCTACATTTACTCAAGTACTTTTTAATTTTGAGATAAATTGTATAATCATATCTTTTGTGATACAGCCTCTGGAATGAAGTACTTGCGGGAAACTAATATTGTCCACCGGGATCTAAAGCCAGGAAATATTATGAGAGTTATTGCCGAAGACAACACATCAGTATACAAGTTGGCAGATTTTGGTGCAGCTAGAGAACTTCAGGAAGGAGGAGAGTTCATGTCACTATATGGAACAGAAGAATACTTGGTATGAGATGTAATCTGTTATTTTAAGTACAGTATAGTAAACTGACATTCTTTTTTTTAATTTGTAAAGAAAAATAATATACATTAATCATTATGCATAATATTTCCAGCAAGACTTAACCAGTAAAATGACTTTAAAGAGAAAGGAAGTATACAGTACTTAGAGGATGAATGTTAATTAAATGGCATTCAGTTTCTATACCATTGTTTCTTAGTTTAACAGTTTAACATAAAATAATAATAATGAAAACGCGTACATGTCATTAGAAACAGTTGCTAATTATATATATCAAGGTATTTACCAATTTTAGGTACAATGTATTAATATTTTTTATCTCTGCAAGTTAAAAATATATTGAATTGTTTTGTTTTTTCTGCAGCATCCAGACTTGTACCAGAGGGCAGTACTAAAAGTGGCAAATCGAGGCAGTTACTCTGCTAAGATTGATCTTTGGTCAGTTGGAGTGACATTCTACCACGTTGCAACTGGACAATTACCATTCAGGCCTTATGGTGGCCGAAAAAATAGAGAAACAATGTAAGTGAACATCAATGTGAATCATCGTTTCCTACCTTTGTTGAGGATCAGGAGATAAGAAGATGTAATTTGGTATATCACCTTTATTTTTTTTTCTGGTGGTAAAGGTAAAGGTAAAGGTAGGAGAATAACCCATAACTTGCAGCGTCATTGTGCTGAATTGCGTATGGGCGTGGCCCGTGACTACCTAGCAGCCGTAAAGAGGCGCTTCATGGTAGCTACATGTTCACATCATTCCACAACGACAGGGGCTGAAATGAACCATAACATCGGGGTAACCCCCTACTCTTCCGAAAGATGCAATGGGTTATTTAAAGTGCACACGAGCCAGATGTATACACTGGACCTCCATTTTAATTCCTTATCCGAGAAGACTTGGTTCTACCAACTGAACCATGGGCGAGGAGCGGCTGGAACCAGCGCCGATGTTAAAAGCTGTAGCTAGCGGCGCCCCTGCCTTACCGCTCGGCCACTCGACTCGCTTGATGATATGAAGATCATTTGGTATTTTACCTTCTATAGTTGCAGTATTTGAATAGTGGCTATTTATTTAGTGTTTTTTGACTAAGTATTAGTATGGCGATGGTTGCACAGCATATAGTAGTTTGTTGTCACTATTTGTGATATTACATGTTGATAACTGGAATAAGTTATTATGGAAACTGACCACATAGTCATGGGACAACATATCAACTGGAATATGATTTTAATAAAACGTTTGCTTTTTTGGATTGGGATAAAGTGTATATATATGGAAACCAAAACATATTGCATTACTGGGACAATATTTGAAAGGTTACAAGTGTGTTTTAGATGACAATGACATTTCTAGATTGAAATGAAGTAAATTTTGTGAAGTTATGGAAGTACTATTTTTAGATTGTGATAAAAACAATATTGGAATATTAAAAGGTAGTATTAGGATGAATGCAATATCTGAAGAGTGGCATCTCTAGATTTGGAAGAATCAAATGTATTCAAGTAACAAAAGTAGATTATGATTGTGTAAAGTACCTGTAAATTTACAGAAATCACAATTTCTGATGGCAACTGATTAATGGTAAATATTTTTAAAGTTACAAGAGTCACATTTACAGATCGTGACTTCATATTGTTAATAATTAAGTCATGATTCCAGATTGTGAACAAATTCTGTATTACAAGTTACTGTAAATTCCCAGATTGTGACATACGGTAGTCACTATAAATATCTGGAAAATTTATAAAAGTAATGTTGTCATTTCCATAGTACAGTATTTTTGAAAATGTTGATTGTATCTCATAAACAACATGAATATCCTAGTTTTGTTATCAGTAGCTTATAGTGGTACAGTAAGCCTCTTGACCATTGCTATATGTGATCGAACTCATCATTCAACTCATCACTCAAATCATTTTATTTATTTTGTCACACTTCACTCTAGAGTATGAATATGAGGTGAATGTGAATTCATTGTGAATGTTCTAATTTATTGTTTAATTGGTTGCCTGTTGGCATTGATCCCATGATGCAAAAAGCTCTTTTAAGCCAATAATTTCTGGAAAACTGTCTTGAGGGTGTTTCTGTGTCTAAGAAAGAAAGAAATACAGTACAGTGATAATGTATTACTATTTTTTGTGTTTCCAATGATCATATACTGTACTGTTATTTGAAGCAATTTCAGACTATTAGACATGTCTACAGACATTTCATTTCGGCAGCTAATTGCTTTTGATTCTTGGAATGTATATAGTGCAAGAAACGTCATATAGTAGGAACTTTTCACAATAACACATTGCAATACTGTAATAATTAACTAATTTCAGTCTCACTTTCACTAAATTCTGGAATTATTGTGTTCTGGGGCGAATGCAGGATTTGGCGGTGGGGGGGGGGGGGGGGGGGTGTGTGAGAGTCCACATCACCTCACCCCCACCATGGTTGGGGCTGAGGTGCGAAAATTTTGAAAATATGAACCCCTAGGTGCCCAGAAGTTGCATTCATACCAGATTTAATTTAATTTATCTTCATATCAACAATACAATACAACAATTATTTTTCTTAATGCAATTAGGGGGGTGCGATCACACCGTCTGCTCCTCCTGCATCCGCCCCAGGTGTTCATACTACAGTTCTACTTTCTAAATCTTGGTACTTGACTATCAAGTTTGTTGCAACATAGCCTCCAGAAGTCATCTTGAAACATTGTGCATTTGTTGTATTGTGCACCATTCAGTAGCCCTACAATGTTATTCTTAGGTGTTATAAAATTATAACTTGTATATATTAATGATGGTTGTCTTGAATTGTCAGATTATATGACTCACATGCTGTTGACTAATACTGTGGTTTCCTCACAATTGAATAATTAATCCGTTTGTGCCTGTTGGAGATTTGTTGTAGTGTTAGCCTACTTAGTATTACTGTAGTATTGTTTTACAAACAAGTCAGCTATGGTGGAAAAACCTTAGCTGCTACAGTATACAGTTAAAAAGTCGAATTGCCCAACTCAAATAATTTCGATCTTACTTAAAAGTCGATCTTACTTTACACGGCAAGTTGTTCTTTTTCCATTACTTTACGATCTGTAAGTTAAATTTTATCTAAGTCACACAATTTTTCAATATATCCACTGTTCAATCAAGGAATTTAACTGTTACCAGGATAGGAAGCTTGCTGGTTTAAGCTGTCTAACTTGAATTAACCTTATGTGCGGTATTGTTATGCAAATGAGCCAGATAAGCACAATCTGCGCATGCTTAGAAAAACAAAACTTTCCTTAGCCACACCAGGGCCACACTGCGTATCGGCTAGGCGTACAGCTAGGCCTAGCCGAGAATTACGGTACGGTTAATCAAAGCAAAATAAGGGTACTAATTTCACTTGGCATACAAATCAATCATACTTACACACTTAAAAACAAACTAGTCTACCAATAAAATCACCTGCAAGTTAAGATATAAGGCAAGTTATGTCTACAAATTTGATTTTAAATTGATGTGATTAGGCTAGCCTAGACCCGGCCTAGGCCATGTCTAACCGCTTATAAAAATGCAGAAAAAAGACCCAAAACAATTTAGAATGAAGTTATCAACTAACTAGTGCATTAAAATTATTCATATACTTACTACTTACCTATATAAAATTAAAATGTATTGCTCACAAACGTCAATATTTGGAATTTAATATGCCTTTTTCACGAATTGGTTGACATCTTGAAGTAATGACAAACAGCCTAAGTCAGTGGTGCGTAACAAACAAAAATAAGATAAGCTAGGCCTAGCTGCTGTACACCTAGCTGATACGCAGTGTGGCTAAGGAAAGTTTTGTTTTTTTGAGCATGTGCAGATTGTGCTTATCTGGCTCATTAGCATAACAATACCACACATAAGGCTAATTCAAGTTAGATTAAACCAGCCAGCTTCCTATCCTGGTAACAGTTAAAAGTCCTTGGTTCAATATATCATTTTGGATTCAACTTAGGCAAGTTCAACTGTATATTTAATTTAAATACCATCTCTACCAACAAAGAATTTGTGCTGCCAATAGAATCTGTACCTGTGAGGAATTAAACTGTTTAACGATTACAGTATTTGTGCATACAAAATATACTAGAAGTGTCACTTAAAATAACCTCAAGTGTGGAAGTACTTATCTGGTTCCTGCTATTGTGCAAATTAGAAATGTTATATCTGCATTTTTGATTTGTTTTCACTGTTAGGCAAGGCTTTTTTATACCTTGTTTTCACGAACCCGCCGCCCTCCAATATTGATGTTTTCAAGTTTTAAAAAAAAATTATTTTTGGCCAATGAACGCATCCACCACCACGAAAACTGGAAATTTCAATTATTTAAAATAACAATTTTTCTTAATTTTTTTATTACACTTGTCACTGCCTTGAAATCTCAAAAAATAAGATATGTATATTTCTTCCTAATTATATAAATTTAAAGCATTTAACCATCCCATTACTACACTGTTCACATCCAACTATAACATTTTATTTTTATTTTCTACTCCGTCTGGATTTTTTTATAAAACTATTTGCTAATAAGAAAACAAAACTTAATTTTTAATTTGTTTCCGCCCGCCTCTGAGGATATTTAACAAAATAAGTTTGCGAAACAAGGAATAAAAAATGTCCTGCCTTACTGTTAGTTGTTTATGATCATATTCTTTCATAGAACTCATTAGAATACAAGTAATTATTTTGTACTATTCAGGGAAATGTCATATTAGAATAATCAGTTATATTTATTCACTACTCACCTTCTTTTTATGTTTTGATTTTAGGACAAAAATTGTTTATGCTAACTTAATACCTGTTACATATATAATTTAAGGTAGTAGTATTATTGATTTTTGTATTTTTTGGATTTGTCTTTAAAATTTTTTTTTTGCACTAATAATAATGGATTTAATGTCATTGGTGTTTATCTTTGGTTCAAAATATTTTTTACAGTTCCAAATGAAAGGTAAGTATTGTTTTGAGATGAGAAATGTATACAACTCACAAAGTAGTTTAGAAATTCATACAGCACCTCCATCTCATACTAGAATTATGATTTTATTTATCTTTTTTTTTTTTAATAATATCTAGTTTTCATCTTGCATTGAGTGTTCTAACTGACCTTTCAGTCTTACTGTGTATTTAAGTGACAGTCCTTCTAGTGTATATGACAAATGGTGTGAATTGGCAAAAGTCCAGCCATTGTCACAATGTAAACATCCGGGAGGCCCTATCTTGGTGATTACTTTCCATTATCGCATGGATCATAGGGAATATGATTAAGCTCTGCACTCACTATCAAGTTTTATGTGAAGAATAATAATAATGTGTCTATAATGGGTATGTTATTACGTCAACGTAAATTACATATATTTGTTACAGAAATCTTGATAGTGCAGGAGAGACGTAAATTATGCAAATCCCCCATGACCATATTTATAATTTATGTCACAGGTTTTTGTCAAATAATGTTTGATAGTTTGAACAGGGTTTAATAGTGGAAAAATAATAACTTTGAATATTTTATAACACAAATTCTATTGAGATGTTACATTCATTTCTGTATTATTTATACACTTCCAAACACAGTATCTGTAGAGATTCTATACTAAACAACACTGGAAACCAATAGGGCTTGATAAGCCTACAGTACAAATCCTTTACACCGGAGGGTACAATTCAATAGTTTAAGTTTGAAATTGTTGGAAAAAAACTAGGATTTGTAGAGAAGGTGTATAATAATGTTTTATTATGCAGTTCATTACAGTTTTGTTTTGTAGAAAGGTTTAGGTGTTGCACTCTTGTCTTTTAGATGTGTGTTAGATAAAAACATTGGATTCAGAAATTAGAGGCCAACCATTATAAATAAAAGTTCATAAACATTTGAATTTTCGCAAAAAAAAAAAAAAATTATTTTTATTTGTCAATAAGTAACTACAACAAACAAATACCTATTCCCTGGTAGTAAAATGTTGTACTTGATCACATTCAGTTGGTTTCCAGTAGTGTTAATATATGGTCGTTCTTCTATTGCTGTGTTGTTACAATAATTCATGTTGATATCCACATAAAATTTCTTACCTCATCCCCAACCATGGTGAGGCTATAAGGAGCCTCGACCCTTCATCTGCAAAAGTCGCTCCCAGAGCCCACTCTATTTTGAATTTCCGGATCCGCCACTGAACATGACAAAATGAATTTCATACCAGGACAAAAATGATGTGTATGACTTCATTTGACAAACTTCATTGTTGAAAGTTTAATATGTTTTGAGGCACTCATTAGATTTGATTAGAAAAAAACTACAGTAAAAATGTTTTCAGACTTATGAATTCGAATTGTTCATACCCTGGTTTTACTCACACTAGGACCTTAATTCAAAGACCAAAATAATGCTTAAACTGTGATTTACATGACACCACTTATAGTTAGAGACTTACTGTGTGACAAAACCTCATTATTATTTTTCTATACTTAAATTAATATTCAAAATGTTCCTCAAAACAATAGTTTCTAATGCTGGAAAGAAACATTACAATTAATTGGATTAATCCTATAAAAATAAAATAATATTTTTGGCCTATTTTATATAGTGATTTCCATGTTTAAATGTCTCAAAGTGCTTGAAATCATTGCCTTATCTAATAGTGTACATATTTTTTCAGGCTTTTGAGCAGAGGTATTGTAACTTCAGTTAGTGGTATCAATTCATAATGGATTCAACTATTTTTAGGTAATCAACACCATCAGAAGGAATTTAGTTATAGTTTTGGATATCTTTCATATCAAAGTAAGAACGATTTAAAGGCCTGGAGGTTGATTCAGTCACAAGTGATAAATCAAGTGACTTTCTTTTGTGTTGTTTATCCTATGCCCGATTCGCATGACAGATTATTTAATAAATATTGACAGAAATATCTGTTCAGATATTTCCTTCGAGATTTATTGCTTTCACCATTAACATATCTAGTATTCTTGAAATGGGGAGAGGGCTAATGGGGTGGGGGAGCAAAGTTGCTCGAGGATTAGGTGAGGGGTGCTATAGCTTGTAAAATAAGACGATTTGAGGGGGGTTTTTTTATAACTACTTTGGCGCGACTGGGGGTCACAGCCAATTACGAAATCTTGCTAATTACTGGTACAATTGCATGCTGAGAGTGAAGACATCATATTGAAATATAGGCTGGGCCCATTAATATGCGCAATATGCTTCTTACCAGTGATGTAGAAAAGTATTTTTCATTGAGGGGATGATTGAAAATTCTTGGAATTGACAAAATTACTGATGTCATTCACACCCTTCAGTGTGAAAATGTGGCTTGCTTTGCAAGCACATCTAATATCTAAGGAAAGAAGAGCTTAGATTGGTACCAGATAAAATAATTTTATCATCAACATTAATACATTATGCTTATTTTCATCTTGGTAAGTGCATAAGACATTGCAAATTATTTCTGTGACAGTCTTTTGAAGTGTGTAAAGCTCCATTTTATCCCATACAGTCAAAATATTGGGGGGATGATACAATGGCCCCCCCCCCGGTCAAATATTGGGGTAATATATCCCCCATCCCTGGGATCTATGCCTATGCTTCTTATTGAGGTACAGTATCCTATGTATTCTTAAAGGATATACCTCTCACAACTGAAGTGTTCTGATACTGTAGGGAAAATATCTGTTACAATTTGTTAATATTTAGTACTTTTCCATCATGTGAATCTGGTATTTCCTAGATACTTGGAGGTGAGTAAACCTTATCCTGTCGCTTGTGATTTCCTTTCACAAATAATTTTTCTTTTAGGATTTACTTGACTACAAGGAAACCGAATGGCGTGATCAGCGGTGTCCAGCATGAATCACCAAACGGAAAGATTGAATGGTCCAGCCAACTCCCTGAAACATGTCATTTACCCAGGTCAGTTATCAAACTGAATTACTGTGTTTAAAAATACTTCCAAATGATATAAAATATGTACATGATATAAAATATGTAATATTTTTATTGCTTAATATTTAATACACTGACTCCCGAAATATCCTACTGAGATATGGTTGAGCGCACACTAACATTGCTCTAATTCAGTGCAATTTTTATGCAGGATTTATTATGTAGGCAGTTAATAAACATGCAACACACTCAATATGAGCTGCACCATTTGAGCATGTGCACAGATCCTTGTTAAATGTCACTGAAGTGTTACAGGCCATTGCGATGTCTTTTTTCCGTACATGAATATTATACATGAGACATAGTGCTAATCTTATAGAGATAATCATTCACATGGATGAATTCAGCAGGCGATGGATGCTAACATTTCTATAGCTGGGGACACATGCAATATTTTTTTCTTGTATGAATTTGGTATTATTGTAGTCCAAGACCTCTGGCAAAATAGTAGCTTGATACTTATTGTTCCCGAGAATAAATAAGTGATAAATACATAAGTAATGAATACATACAGTAAATAAATAGAAAAATAAAAAGATAGGTTTATCCTTTAATTGTAGAATACATACAGTAAATAAATTAGAAAAATAAAAAGATAGTTTTATCCTTTAATTTTAAAGATAGCCAGTAGTTACACTTGTAGACACTCAAATACTGTTTATGTAATACCATAAAGAAAGTTCTTATAGGCCAATGAAAATAGACAGTTTAATTTAAACAAAAATATATGTAATAGAAAATTGGCCATTAATCAAAAATATTATCCAAACTGCTATGTTTTTCTGGCAGCTGGCAGTTTGATTTTAGTGAAGCCAAAGCTACTGAAGCTGAATCCGTAAGCACACACAGCTACTATCTTTGCCAAAGCTAATGCGGTTCGATGACGGAGACAATATTATGCTAAGTGCACAGTAGATAATTGAACTTGCATGCGGTTGTTATTATAATGGCAGCAGAATTCTATTGTTATAGCATCAAACAAATTTAACATAATATATTGTAGATTCTCTTTTTTTACAATGCTGACTATATTGAAATTCACAATTACTGTATATTACATTAATTTTTTTAGGTATTTGATTTGATGAATAATTTTTCCATTATAATAAGTGAATACATAAATGCAGTTAATAAATTAGAAAAATAAAAAGATAGGTTTATCCTTTAATTGTAAAGATAGCCAGTACTTACACTTGTAGACTCTCAAATACTGTTTATGTGATACCATAAAGAAAGTTCTTATAGGCCAATGAAAATAGACAGTTAAAAATATATGTAATAGAAAATTGGCCATTAATCAAAAATATTATCCAAACTGCTATGTTTTTCTGGCAGCTGAGTTTGATTTTAGTTCAAGCCAAAGCTACTGAAGCTGAATCCGTAAGCACACACAGCTACTATCTTTGCCAAAGCTAATGCGGTTCAATGACGGAGACAATATACTATGCTAAGTGCACAGTAGATAATTGAACTTGCATGCGGTTGTTATCATAATGGCAGCAGAATTCTATTGTTATAGCATCAAACAAATTTAACATAATATATTATAGATTCTCTTTTTTTACAATGCTGACTATATTGAAATTCACAATTACTGTATATTACATTAATTTTTTTAGGTATTTGATTTGATGAAAAATTTTGCCATTATATATAATAAGTGAATACATAATAATAATAATAATAATAATATTTATTCGGCAAAGTAAAAAGTATACATACAATATTCTTGCCAGGAGTAAGTAATAGGCATAAGCCCAAACAGTAAACTGCTCTTACTCCATCATCAAAAACAAATACAATGACAATACAATATATATATATATATATATATACAAAAAAGTAAAAGTAAATTCAAAATAAATTGATTTAACTATAACAAAATGAAAAACAGAGATAATTGATAGTTAATATTATTAATATTTTGAGATCAAGTGTTTTGTGAGCTGGGCTTTAAAGTCCGAAGTGTATGTACATTGTTTAATTTCATTAGGAAGTTGTTCCCATAATCTAGGAAAAATAACAAAAGATGAATTTAAAAATGTATTAAATGCAACCCCTGGGCCATGTCCCCTAACAACATTTTAGGAACAATTATGTGTTTGAGCATGGCTCATATTGCATAGAAGATGAGGGACAAACCGCTGAGATCAAACAATGTCTATCAACAAACACTAAAGATTAGTATTTAAAGATCTAGCTATACTGTACCTGGAAAAGCCTGTGAGAAGACTTGTTTATTGAGTAGACTCAAAATCGAGGTGGTTTTAGGTTTTACTTTACAGAAAATGGCATTT